GTTGCCACTTAAACAATAATTATATTTATTTAATAAATAAACAAGATATTACAACCTCTCCCCCCTCCAGATAAACTTTAATTTATATTTTTATAAATTAAATTTAAATTTATAAAAATATAAATTAAAGTTTATCTGGAGGGGGGAGAGGTAAGTGCATTTAACATTAATAAATGGGTATCTCAGTAATTTGGCGAGAAATCGCCAAAGTAGTCAAACTTGGCGATCATTTGGAGACATTTTAGTGCGGTCCCTGTGTCACCGTAATAGATATTATAATTGAAAATAAGTGTAATTAATCAGTTAATAGTTGCAACTGTAATTCGACTCTCATACTGCATTCTAGTAATTTCGAGCAGCAGAAAGTACTAGAAATATCTCGGCGGCCGGTTGAAAACTTAGCTAAACAACAATAGCTAAACAACTAACTAATTGAGAGAGATCATCAACTCTCAGTTAGTTAGTTGTTTAGCTATTGTTGTTGTGAGTTGTTAGTTCAAAGCGTGAACTAAGATATCTCCGTATTAGCTTTCTCTTTAGGTGCGCTTTACAGTGACTTATGTTTAACATTCTTAGTAGTTTGACCAGTAACTACTGGTTGTATTCTGTCATACTGTGAACACCTTTACGAGTATTTTTGTGGAGAATTTCAGAACTTTGAAGTATTCTTTTTTATAAAATTAATTTTATTAACCTATCATGGAATCAATCCGCATTCAACCTATTACGAAACCATAAGCGCGCAACAATATTATTTCAATTATCCATTAATTCTACTGCAATAAATACAGTGGATGGACAAAAATATGGAAACACTTTGTGAAATGCATGTTTGAAAAGAAAGATTGATTTTAATGAAATATGTAGGTGGCGCTGGCGTTTTTGACTACTGACGCCACCTATACAACTTCTTAAATGTGCTAAACAGTTCAGTTGTGTTGTCGGAGTACTGTTATGTGAGGTTGTCATTGCATTATGTCAGAGTTAACAGACTTCGAACGTGGGCAAATTGTTGGAGCACGTATGGTAGGTGCTTCCGTAAGCAAGGGTAGCCGAGGTGTTTAATGTTTCAAGAGGTACTGTATCGAAGATTTATTCCTCATATTTGAAAAGCGGAAAAACATCATCTGCTAAATCACAGCGCGGACGAAAGTGTGTCCTAAGTTATCGCGACAGACGATCATTAAGAGCAATTGTGACGAAAAATAAGAAGACCACAGCTGCAAAAGTTAGTGCTGAAATGAATGTTGTGTTACCGAACCCTGTGAGTACCAAAACAATTAGAAGGGAGCTTCATAAACAGGGAATTGCTGGCCGTGCTGCAATCGAGAAGCCACTCATCAGTGATGCTAATTCCCATAACAGGAAAACGTGGTGTTTAAGTCATAAAGCCTGGACTATAGAGCAGTGGAAGCGAGTAATATGGTCTGACGAGTCTTCTTTCACATTGTTTCCCACTTCTGGCCGAGTTTAGGTCTGGAGAACGCTTTCTGAAGCCTATAATACAGACTGCTTGTTGCCAAGAGTGAAACATGGCGGGGGTTCTGTTATGGTTTGGGCAGCCATATCGTGGTTCTCTGCTAGCCCCATGATAACTGTGTCAGGGCACATGACTGGCAAGACTTATGTGAACATTTTGGCCGATCAAGTTCATCCCATGGTACGAACTTTGTTCCCTGATGGTGATGGTGTCTTCCAAGACGACAAAGGTCCTGTTCACACAGCTCACATTGTCCAGGGCTGGCTTTCTGAGCACGAGGATGACTTGTCCCATCTTCCCTGGCCACCACAGTCACCAGACCTGAATATTATCGAACCTTTGTGGTCTACATTGGAACGGAAAGTGCGTTCTCGTTATCCACCGCCAACATCGTTATCTGAACTTGCCACCGTTTTGCAGGAAGAATAATGGTATAATAATATTCCCTTGGCAAACATACAGGAACTGTATTTATCCATTCCGAGAAGACTGCAAGCTGTTTTGGATGCCGACGGGTTTCCTACACCATATTAAGCAAAGAAACATGTTTTTTTAAAGGTGTTTCCATATTTTTGTCCAACCCTGTATTTTCTAAAAGTTAGCTATAGAGGGCTTGCATTCCGTGGTTTAACCGATGTTCGTCGTGGTAATTCGCGACTACAATTGAGCTTAGCTTTTCCCTGTGGGAGAGTTGCTACATTTTTGGCATTAAGGAGAATTTACATTATGTTTGAATAAACAGATAATGTAAAGATTATTTTTAAATTATCTGTTTATCTTTGAGCATTTTTTTTCTTTGCTGTATGGGCTGCTATTTGTTTTCATAAAGTGTTTAGTTTGGTATCGTAATTAGGTAAACTCTACGAACTTGTAGTTTGCAATAATATTACCCCCTCCCCCCAGAAAAAGTCTGAGAGTTTTTAGGTTTTATATTACGACCAAAAGATTTTTTTTTTAAATGTTTTGTGTCTTACCTTTATTTAGTGAATATCATTTTCTTCGCATTTACCACACAATTCGATTCAACACCAGTATCGCAAAATAATTTAAAAAGAGCATACCTTTAGAATTTCTTATACGCACTCCCGTGCGATGGAGATAAATCCCCCCCCCGTATAGTGTTGCCACTGCTCGGTTTCAGATCGTTGAGTTTCTTAATCAAAAACTTTTAAATGCTTTACAGAATATGAAACAGATAATAAAACTAATTCCAAATTCTAAATTTGGACTTCGAGATGCCCATATTCGGGTAGAGACGTACGTTATTCAATTGTATCGTTTCATTCAAAATTGGATGGCTCAAGGTACCGTTGTTTTATGACAGTGCGAGAAACATACATACATTCATACAGATTCTTCATTATTTAATTCCTTAAAATATAATACAGGGCTCTAATACTTGGTGGCAGCAATTTGAAAAGTGAAACGCCACATAATGCCAAAGCGAATTGATCGCCCTTCAGGGCTAACGACCTTTTGGCTTATAACAATTAATAATGTAACGTTAACGGTGAATGTTTCTGGAAAATTTTAGAAGCTATTGATTCATAAGAAATTATAAAATTGAAAATAAAATTTAATGAACGTTCTTGTGATAAAGAAGTCAAATTTTTATTAGTGACTTCCGTCAAGTTAAATTCCCCAAACTTAACGTCTCCGTAAATGGCAGCTACTCGGATCAAAATAATGAATAAAAAATTTAAATTACTCTGAAATTACTCTGATTGAATTACTCTGAAAGGTATTAGATTTCAACGGTCGCCAGAACGGTTTGTTAAGGTTTTTTTAAGCTCTCACTGAACTCGCAGTCTACCAGTCTCCTCTTGCACTCATTCCTGCTAACGCCTCCCTTTTTTTTTTTGTCTTTTTAGCTTTATTATTAAAACTCGCTTTCTCCGCACTTACGCCACATGGAGTTCAACAGCAAAATCACAAAGTATTGAAAAGCAATAGATAGAGTGTTAAAGGTCCCGATAGAGTCCAATAGTAGAGTACCGATAGAGTGTTGAAGGTTGACATACATGTTTTTATATGCACTATATTATTTATTTCCTTAAAAACTAGCCTCACTCGGCTTCCACCTAAGTTATCATGAAAACGAAGATAATCACAAGATATTTAATTCGATAATATTATGATCTATTATCGATTAATCTTCTGATTTTAATACATGCTTACTTAAACGAATTGCGTTCAAAAGTAGAAAAAAATCTTCTTAAGAACTGTGTTTATTTCTTTTAAATTGCATTAGTTTATTACTCGATAATCTTCCAGATTAAATTTGAAAGAATCTCAGGCTATACTGAATGGCAGCATGCTGCCGCGTGGAAGATAAAACTATTTTATTTCTGGCCACAGTAACACATAAAGTCAAGTTTGTTAATAAAAACCGAAAGATAAATAGCTTACATGCTTTCGAATGGCAACAGGCTCACGCGCTGAAGATAAAAATGTTTTATTCCGTGCTGCTCGCTTTAAAATCGTAGAATTTGTCAATTAAAAATTTTTTAAATTTTATAAATTATGAAATAAATAATGAAGCGAATTCAAAATTCGGGCTTCCAGGTGCACATGTTCGGGTTGGAGGACTACATTATTTAAAATTTGATGGCTGTATGTACCGTCGTATTTTTCACAGTGTAAGGAAAATGCATAAATGCATGCAGATTCTTCACCATTTGATTTCTTGAAATATATTTTTTAGAAGACAACTATGGTCAGAAATGCAAACAGAAGAAACAGCTAATAAAATTAAACTACAGTAAGTGTATAAATCGTTCATCTTGTGGCCGAGCTCTCCAGTATTTCTCCTACAAGTATCCCGAGCCCAACCCAGGGCAGTGACTCGAATGGTTCGCGTCCATTTCCTCACGAATGTTGCACAATTGTCAAACAGGATTTGACAGTAATTTTATACGATATAGATGCTTGGAGAGGCAATCATGCCCAGCAGCGAGGCGAAAAGTGGCAACAGATCTGTCTCTTGGCCATAGTGGAATATTCGTGGTTTCCTTAATCAATTTCTTGTCTTTGTTTGCCTCTTTGATATTTTTACAATAGTCCTCTCTAAAAGACTTTTTAATTAATCGTTAAAAAGGAATTGGTTTACCTGTTATTTGAGCAATTTTGGTTGCCTTCTTTGCAGGGAGTCAGCTGTTTCATTACACTGGAGCCCACAGTGTGCTGGTACCTACTGCGAAGCAACCGCTTTGTGGTTTTCGATTAAATCATTAAGGGTTAGATGAATATTTAAAATATCAGCTGAAACAGGAGCTGCAGATGAGACAATGGTCAGGAGGGCAGCCCTAGAATCTGACAGTACAACAGCCCTTGACAAATTTTCATATTGTATTGGAGCTGTGACAAGGCGACTTGAATTGCAGAGATCTTCGAGTCAAATGCTGTTTTAAACTTTTCGACAGAAGTGCAAAATGAGAAGAGCCTACAGAAGGCGCCAGCGCCAACGGCCAGTCAACATGGAGCCGTCTGTAAACACATGCTGCCACTCATTATCTGAGTACTATTCATGGATAGTCTCCAGATCTACACCATTTAGAATTAAGTCATTTTTTTCTTTCTTAGACACCTCACTTGATAGGTTTATCCCAACCATCCACTTCCCTCTTTCAATTGGATATTGTGACTTGATGAGATTTTCCATCTCCCAGTTCAATCCTAATTGTTCTCTCATGTCAAAAACTCTCTGAAGGAAACCATACTGGGTTTTAAGGTTCAAAGGGCTATTCCACAGGAGAAAACAAGCTGGTAGTCTTGAGATCTTTTTCCATAAAATTGGTGCCTTCTCTTCGATTACTGATTTAACACTCATATGTTGGGTAGATATCAAAAGCTCATCAATCAGAGTTGTCTTAATAGCACTCGTGATGAGACGGCGGGATTGGGAATAGAATTTTTCCAAGTTATCAGTAACTTCCTTGCTAGCTGCCACCAAAGTTTCGGAATTGTAAGTAATAAGTGGCAAAATATAGAAATTATAGGTCAGGTCAAGGGTTGTTCTGCAGCATCCCCACTTAGAGCCAGTAATTCTTTTCAGTAAAGTAAGTCTCTTAGTAGTTCTTTCCAATGTATTTGTAACGTGCTCTTCCCATGTCAGTTTACGGTTAAAAATGACACCCAAATAAAGGTTGGTCACAAGAACAGGGAGGTTTTGGTAGAATAAATCCAGCTTGATCGGTTGGTGGGTGTGAGGAAAAAAGTTTGGTATATAGTTTTTTTCTAGATTTACTTCCATATTATTAACATGACACTAATCGCTTAATTTATTTAGAGCCTGATTTAAAGAAGTTTCAGATTATAATATAGCTTGTTTTTTTTACTTCCTTGTACGAAGTAAAAACGAAGTATTGTAATCGCGAAAAGCTTCAGGCAGCATATTTCAACGAAAATATCCACTTTGAACGCTTTCGAATGCAATTTAACGATGTTTTTGCGTGATATCTGTACGTAAGGACAGAATAAAAGACTATTTTCCTCAAAAAAAAAAAAAAAAAAAAAAAAAAAAAGAAAAAGAAAAAGAAAAACTGCTTTAAAATGAAGTCTGAAGAGAATTTTTCGTGGCATCTGTACGAACGTATGTATGTACGTACGTATCTCGCATAACTCAAAAACGAGTAGCCTCAGAACGTGTGAAATTTTGTATATAAAACTACTATACATGTAGATGTGCACCTCGTATTTGGTGCGATCGGCCTCACCAACATATAAATATTTTATAAATATATCACTCTGTTACCCGGCTCAGTGATCTCAGTTTCTTTACTCTTATATGTTTGTAATTATACATTTTTGCTTTAAAAATGATTGAATTATGTTGTTCTATCTTCCGGTTAAGGGTTTTATGCCTTTAGTAATCTCTATGCAATATTTTAGAATTATCAACAATTTTAAACTGTTAAGAGCCGCTAAGCCTAATAATGTTTTTGATGGCGGCCATTGCTCTGTTTACATTTGAAAACAGCGATAGCGATTTGTTGCCAATCTAGAGAACTTAACTTCGCAACAACAAAGATAACGCCTTCATTTATTATTTAAATCAAGCTTAATCCTTTCTGGAATTTTTTCGAGGAATGCGTTCAAGATTTACTTCGTAATTTTATAAGATATTTTGATTTTTATGTATTTTTGATTGTCACGAAGTGAACTAATTAATTGAAGAGAAAACTTAATCGTCTGTGGAAAACTGTTTTCTTTTTTTTTTTTGTTTTCTATTTCTTTTATACATTCTAGCTTTATTTGAATAGAATGTGGCAACGATTAGATATTCTTAAATGATATAAATTTTGTGCATTCTGAGTTATAATACGACCCGGATTCGGAAATTCTAAAAGCTTCTCATACCTTTTTATGAAATGTGACAGTCATCCTAAGAATATCATCAAAAAACTAGGAAATTATGATTTCACAATTGAACAACGCTACAAGAGCCCCCTGCACTATTCACCATAATAGTCGGTGGTAATGCATATACATTTTTTTTTTGTTTTTGTTTTGTTTTCTCTTAGTCCCAAGTTTCTTCATTTTCTTTACTTATAGATTTACTTATCAATTACAAGCACTATGGACTTTGGTTTCTGCCAATTGGTAGATTTGTGTTGTAAGTAGTTTTTACTCTTGTGAAACTTTCAATGTATGCAAATTGTGTTTTTCATCATTTTACTTGCCAATTATTGCTTAAAAGAATAATTTTTTATGAAATTTTAAAAATGCCTTCAAACTCCTGCAAGAGATGGCGCAACCAGGGCTCCAGTCAACTAAAATGCTTTTGATCACTATAATAGAAGGCGCCACACGAGCACCTCTTTTGTTCAAAGTTTTACTTATTCTACAGACGCGGCACAGGAGCCTCCGTCGTAGTAATCTCTGAGTTCTAGACAGCTTGTACAAGTACTTCCAATTATGGATACAACTTACTCGATTCTTCAAGCATTTAAAAGTCAAGTATCATATATTGGTAAAGGCCGTTAATGGTCGATTGCCTCTACTAAGTGATAAGACAGACATAGACTAGTTATAATATGAACGAAATATAATACTGTTAAGTAAACTAGCGCAGAGTGTCGCTTGGTAACAAAGTGAATTTAAAGAATGCATTTATTCTATTGTGGTTTATGCGCTTCGGCGAAGATCGGTTTTATTCAATCTAATAGTTTTAATAAATGCAAGAAAAATGCGTTTAATTTAATATTCCGTACAGGAAGTCATGTGGGTACACACAGATTTTTTTTTTTTTTTTTTTTTTTTTATTTCGGTACGATAACCAAATTGTCTGCATAAGTCGGCATTTGAACATAAAATAATCTTCAGTAGTCAGTAACGGTAATTAATAAAACTTAAAAAGTTATATAAAAAGTAACCCCCAAAACAAACATTTCTGGAAAGTTTCGATTTTACTTAGTATCAGGTTTTTCGCATTAAACATAATTTTCGTTCAAGAGCAATATCACAAAATATTTTAATGACAATCTTTAGTTTCCGTACGCATTCGCGCTGAAGATAAAATGATTTTACTGTACACGTTGCCATTGCTCGCTTTCAAATTGTTGAGTTTGTTAATCAAAAATTCGTTAAATTTTTACAAAATATGAAATCGATAATAAAACAAACTCCAAATTTCAAATTTGGGCAATTTGAAAAGTGAAACAATGCTTGTAGTGAATCAACGCAAAATGACAAAACGAAATTAGTAGTCCTTCTGAGCGAATTGCCCCTATGGACTAGCAACTAGTGACGTTACTCTGAAGGAGTCCAGTTTTTTAAGGTTCTTGAAATGTGAGAAGCAGTTTTCGAAGCATACTCTACAAATTCGCTAGAAAAGAAAACTTTTGAACCAGTGGAAGATATTTGAATGGATACCGGTATTAGATCATTATTATCTTGTATTATATTTTTTGAAATATAATACAAGTAATAATGTTTCGCAGCAACAATTTCAAAAGTGATACGCCATTTATCGTGAACCAAAATCCCATTTCGAGAATAATACCCTTTTGGGCTAATAAAATGATTAATTGGATTTTTTAGCTATATCAAGTTATTTTTCCCCAAGCGATGTTAATTTTTACTAAACGCTGTGTTTCATAACAGCAGCGAGAAAACAAAAACTTTGGGTTTAGTCATTTCCTATATGTTGTACACATACTGTTCCAGAATAAATTAAATTCATTTCTGCATGAATATTAAATTCATGTAGAAACATAATAGCTCTTGAAAGTCTTTTGTCAAAGACAGTTTTATTTGTAGCTTGCTGACGTTAATAATAATATCTGTGAATAAAGTAAACTGATAATATATTTTTCTGTACCAATAATTGAATATAAAAAAATACTTTTTGTGAAATAGTTTTTGCATTTTTAGTCGTGGTTATGTCTCAAAAGTCTTTTGACAGTGTGAATTTAAGTTGTGTGAAATACATTTTTAATATTACTTCTCTTTTTTACAAAAAGAGAGGTTGTTTAGAGTTAAATAAAGATTAAAAACCGACTTTTTTAGAAAGATTTCCACATCATGCTGTGAATGGAATGAAAAGTTTTGGTTTGGTTTGGTTTATATATTACGGCAAAGCCTTGAGGGCTATCTGCATAAGGGAAGGGTTGCCTCCGTGAAGGACTTTCTAAGGAAAACTGACTCATATACACGTTACACCTGGGGAAAACCACGAAAATGCCCATGCAGCCAGCCCATTCGCGAAATTCGAAACTCGGACGGAATTACCATTTATCATCGATATCGCCCCTCGTTCAAAGAACGTCTATGTAAAGAAGGAAAGGCTCCATAGACGTAATGTAAACAAGTTTGTGTTCGCCGCTAGAAAGAAGAGGGAAAAATTGCCAAGGGATTTGGCGACGAAACCTGTTGGCGAGAATTTTCCCTCTGTGATGTGCCGGACCTGGCCAACATTTTCCTCCTCCGCGACGTGTACAGGAAATTGAGGAACACGGGTTAAAATGAATAAGAAAATTAGGCGAAGTTTCACTGGTTGTAGAACTTGCATTATCCATACCGCAGTTTGATGTCTGATTTTATATCCTTCAATATGGAGGGGGAAAAAAAATGGAGTCACACTGCCTTAAACTCTTGATAAACGTGACCGTGGAACCCGCTCGAACTTCCACATCAGCTTCGAGCTTTGGCGCCTTTTGGCGACAGATTTTTCACGCATGCGCAGCTGTTTCCCTTTTCGTTCGAAGGAAGCCACTCCTGCTGCTGCAAAGTTTTCCTTCTTAACAATACATATTCTTTGGCTCATCCTCTGGTGGGCCTAAATACAATAAAAGAGGATATGCATAAAACACGCTGATTCTGATTTTGTCTTGTAAAATAAAATATAAAGTGTTCGGAACCGTAATGTAGATCATGTATCCAAATATGAGGCTACAATAATCAGAAAGTGTTCGTATATCAGTCCTCACAATAAATCAAAGTAAACAGCAAATGGATAGAGTGAAAGTAAAAGATTAAATTTAAGTGCTTCGCCCGTGAAACGTTTTTTGAAGAACGCAGTATTATTTGAATGACATTAAGAAGAAAATGCGGATTTGAAAAATGTCAAAAGACCGTATTAGCCTTTGCTAAGCAATACACAAAGCGCATAAAAAAAAGGGGGGAACATGTAATGAAGTTTTATTTTAAAAGTAAATTTATTTTGTTTTCATCGGTTAGCTTAAAGCATCTACATCATCCAGAAAACAAACGTAATAATCCGTAGTATATTTTTTCCTCACTAATCGTGTTAATAAGACATGAAGGTATTACTAAAAAATACAGAGGTGTTTTTCGGCTAAATTGCGTCGGCCGTGAAGAGATTTGTTTGCGAAGACATATTGCAATATCCCAAAGCGTCCGCACGCATACTGAAATGTGAAAAAAAAAAAAAAAATCAGTATGATAAAAACATACAGCACAGCTTAAAGGAAAAAATATTAATCCAGTACACAAATAAAAGCGTTATAATATCCAGGTCAACGTATCCTGGTCTGACTTAAACCCTGTGGAATATACGTGGAGTGTTCGACAGAAGAATTATCAGCAAAAGGTACTTAAATATGGAGCTGCAATTTGAGGCTTTGAAAAAGATTAGGACACCATTGCTTTATCCAAAATTATGAAATTATGAAATATGCATGCCTAAAAAATGATTGGATGTTTTAAAAAGAGAAGGAATTCCAGCTAAGTGTTGGAAAAGTACATAGTATATATATTATTGAATATTTTACAACGTCAAAAAATTCGATT